CCCCAAAACCCCAAAACCCCAAAACCCCAAAACCCCAAATCTCATGGGTTAATTGAAAATAGGCCCAGGTCTGCTAAACGAGCCCCTTTTGAATATTCCTCCTTAAATTTTGCCTTTCCAGGTGAAACCTAGGCTGGAGCGTGCTGATTACAGCAAGACGATGATAAGGCTTAACCACATGAGATATAAAGAAGATGCATGCTTTTGCTGGAAGAAATTATAACTCTCGATCTTATTCTTGGAATCGCTTTCCTAACTTTTCTCTCAATACAGCTTCAGAACGCTTATCTTTCCTTCTATTTTTCTGCTTTGATCGTGTTTTGGTTCTCTTAGTTGTCCCATCCTTTCTGAACTTACCAGTGACTTTAGTGGTCCTGGGTAAGGTAGACTTGAAGCCAGGAGGATGTCTCTTACTCTTATTGGTCTCCTTGACTGCTGGTCCCGGTGTAGAGTAAGAAAGCCTTGTATTTTGTTTCTCCTCTTCAATTTCTTTAGCTTTTTCTTCCTCTTCCTTCTGTTTCAAGAACAACTTCTTATCTCTCTTTTTCTTCTTTGCTAGCTTAATATCAATTTTCTTCTGCTTAGTAGTCAGAATATCAGCCTTAGACTCTTCCTGAAAGCCTATAGGGTTAAATATCTCCAATTTACCTGTCTGAGTTGGCTTAGCTTCAAATTTCTCTTTGATTTCTTTATGCTGCTGAATATCTAAAGTCATAAAGCTGTTGTCATACCTTTCCGGATCTTGAGTAGCTTCTTATGTGCTTGGAGGTCAGCTCCGTTTGAAGTTCCACTGATAATTTTGTTTGTCATTTTCTCATGTTTTTCATCCCCTTTCTCTTTATCCTCATGGATTTCGTTGGCTTCTAAAAAGGCAGCATCACCTGTGACTTCCTTCCTCTTTGATTTCTAAACTATTTTGCTAAACTTTTACCTTCTTCTTCTTGGCCCCTGAATGGATTGTATTCACCAATTGGTCGAAAGATTGCGACATTTGTTAAAAAATTTATCAATAATTAAGTTAGAAATTGGGGTTTTGGGGTTTTGGGGTTTTGGGGTTTTGGGG